TATCTCTATTCTCCCACTCTGCAGAATCTGTTAGTTCAATCTCTTTTTGGTCGTTTCTGTTAAACATGAGTCGGCAGCTAAAGGAACGTTGGACCAACGCTTTGAGAAATCCTAAATATCTGATTGGATGAAAGGAAAACCCAGCGACGTCATTGGCTGGAGCTCGGCTGAAGCAGACTGGAGGAGTCGTCACAGAGAATCTGCAGGACCGGCCCAGTTCTGCGGTTCTGTTGTTTTCCTGGTTCTGCTGTCGCTTGTTTCGTCCGTCCAGGGCAGCGTTCCCTCAATGATCCAAACTCAGCAGAACATCAAACATTCAAAGCTTTTTATTCCTCAAAGATCTGCTCCTGATCCGGTTCCCTCAGTGGAACCACCAGAAGGTTCCTGGGTTTGCTTCCTTCTCTGAGAGCTGAGCTCTGAGTCCAATCAGGATGTGAACGGTGGATCCGCCTCAGGGACCTTTCTGGTTCATTTCAAGGTTTTTTATTTTGGTTTAAAGGATCTGAGATCTAAACGATTCATTGGATTAAATTATTGAAATAATCTTGTAATCTGGGAATAATTTACCCAGAGTTATGCTTCACAGACTCTAGAATCTTCCTCTTGCTTTCGGTTTATTCTGGGATCCTTAACGAAATGAAGGGAACATTTTGGAAGCTAAAATATTTTCCCGTAATAATAAAATACACAAAAAGGATTTTACAGCTTTTTGCATGACTGACATGCAGATCAGAAATATCATCACTAAAACACTTTTATAGACTAAGAGTTTTTTTTTTTTTCTGGATTTATTGAAAAGAGAAATCAATAAATCTTTGATGAGTAAAATAATTGATGGACCCATGAAGGGAACCTGGAACGATTTAGACCAGCTTATGCCTGACGTAGGAATAATCTGGCTAAAACGCCGGCATAGGTTGGGCATTCACGGTGGGACGCATCGACATACGGCGAGTACGTTGAGAAACTTTGAGCATTTATTAAAATATTGCTTCATTTTTAGCAATAATTTGGAGCATCCAGAGGTATGCCAGCATGTGCCACACATGGACCATAAGTTATCTGATGGTTGACCTACTTTAAGTGTCGGTTAGTCATCAGTCGTGGCGTCTAGCTTCTCCCAAACCTCTGAGTAACTTCTCCTCCAGACTTCATCCCCATCATAGCGTGAACCAGAAGGTGAGTGTGATTGATGCTCCCTGCGTTCACGCCCACCACCAACAAATGATGGTGCCCATGATTGTGCATCATTTCCTGGGCCTAACGCTGCCGTGCGTCATGCAGAAGTTAGGCTGTCGGACAGAAGTTCTGGAATCGTTATGAACACCTTGTATGCGCCCAAAATGGAAAGTTTAGTGTATTCCAGCGTTTTAGGAGATTCTGGGAGGTCAGGCGGACGCTGGATAAATGTGACAGAGCCCTAAGATCAGTTGAGGGGTGTGAATCACCCGCAGCAGTCAGTTAGCTTGTTGCGGATATTTTTGATTTATGCCCAATATTGAAGACCACAACGCCAGAGGGCCAATCAGGAAACAGCTAGAACTGGGGCGTCCGTGTTGGTTTCATGAGCTTGTTCGCCGTCTACAACCCCTCATCCAACGCCGGACGACACACGTGTTTTGGCTTCGGGTGCAAACCAACAGACCGTCGCTCAGAGCTACAAACTAGCGTCCTGCAAGATGTCTGGGATAGAGTCCGAGGACGGCGCTACTGCCATTAGAACTGTCCAATCAGAGGCCTCCTGTCTGCTGTCACCTACAATTTTGGAGAGGTGAACCAGAGTGTCTGCGGAAGGGGGGGGAATATCTGCGTTAACTGCAGTAGACCTGGTTTCTGAACATAAACCAGGCTTAAAGCGGAGAGCAGTAGCTGTCACTGTGCAGATTAGCTGCTAAATCAGCCACTTTGTCTCCATTGAGGCAGAAACTACAGCAGCTGCTGGAGGAGGAAGGATGGAGGAAAAGCATCATAATGTTTAAAGAAAGAAAACTTTTATTTTTTATCCCGCTGGTCCTTTAATGACGTCAAACAGTGATTCTTGTTCTAGGTCGGTTTGTTTAAAGGAAGCCCAGAAATCTGCAGGATCAGCAGCTGAACTCCGCTCCAGAAGGGGTCCCTGTCAGGCGGGACAGCAGCGCTTTGTGACCTACAGGCTGCGGGTCCACAGGCCGCTTTATTTTTAACCCAGCAGGTTCGGTGTCGGCGGGCTCCCCCTCCCCCTGGGAGCGGCTCTATCCGCCCTCTGAGGCCGCTGCGTCCCGCTCTGAGCGGCAGGACAGGCCGGGGCTCCAGGTCCCTCCCCCCCGCGGGCCTCCCTGCTCCTGCAGCCTGTTTACGCATCTAACCCGCTTACGCAACGCCTCTCCGGGCTCTTTGTTTGGTGTCGCGGATCAGCGGCTCACCTACAACCCGTCCTCTCTGCTCCAGGCGGCGCGTGTCCACGGACGCCACGGGCTCGCCGCTCCGCGCCGCAGCACCGCGTGGCTCGGGCTTTGTCCTGCCGCCGTCTGCTCGCTCTTCGCCCGCCTTGCTGCTCCTACCGCCCGCCGCGGAGCCTCCGTCCTCCGGGGAGGTGGAGCCCCGGCCCTCCCGGGTCTGCAGCTGCAGGCGGAGCCGGCGGTTTTCCTGCTCCTTGGAGACCGTCTCCAGCAGCAGGGCGTTCAGGCTGGAACCCACCGACTTGCTGATTTCCTGGACGGCAAGCTGAACGACCTGCTCCAGCACGGACTCCAGCTGGCCCTGGAAAAACGAAATGTACACGGCCCCGTTCATGTTGTCGGCCCGTCCGGGTGGGGGCTTCTCTCATTCTTCTGTTCAGACCCCCCCGCCCGATCCCCGCTGACCGCTCACTGCTTGGAATCTTCCCCCGGTCGCGCTGCTCCTCTCGCGGCTTCGCTCTCCACGTCGCCCGCTGCTTCTGCTGCAGCTCCGCATGTTTTCCGACACAGGCCGAAAATAGCCGAATAGAGGCGCAGCGACATTTCCCCGCCCACATGTGCTGCCTTGGCCGTGACGCCATTTTGGCTTTCAGAGAATAATAGTACAAATTCTCAAATGTCAGACTTCCTGTCTGCTTCCTTTTATCTCGAAAATTCCCGGGAAATAAGCTCCTGTTTGCGCGCGAACCGGGAGGAAACACCACCTCCTCATCTTATCCTCTAAATTCAAAGAAAAAGGGACATCACAACAAATTCAAATTGTCAATTTCAGAAAGTGAAATCTTTAATTGTATAGATTCTATTCTATTCAGTTTATTTCTATAGCTCCAATTCACATCATGTCATCTCAGGTCACTTTCCAGTTCAACCAGATCATCCAGTCAGATTGATTCAAAGTTTTCTATCTAAGGAAAACCAGCTGATTGCATCGACTCATTGCCCCATCCACACTAAGTCAAAACGAACACAAAACGCTAATATTTTCCCGGACGTTTGTCCTATAGACGGAGACGTAAA